CGCCATGTGGATCTCCTCTGGGGCAGACGGGGATTGAACTCATGAGGAAGTGGCTTAAGCTTCTTAGTGCAGTGCTTTAACCCGCTGCGCCACCAGGGAGGGCCTATTTTCAAAAATTTTTAACTTAAAAATATGAAAGTGCTTATATGTACTAGTAACTATAGGTACTTGATACTGTGAATAAAAGTCTCTCCCAAAGCTCCTTTATTTTTCTCTGAGACAGTGGGTCTTATTCATTTTTCCTTTTCATTATACACTTTGCTTAAAGCTGAAAGATATTAAACTTCCAAAACAAAAGATTTTGGAATTAGGTTTCACAAAAATCTAATGTTCAGTTCAATAATAAAAACTTGTCTTGAACTTAGTTCAGACTGTTCCTCTCCTTGGGCTTGTATAATCTGGGTTTTAAGCAGTGGTTCTGCATTTACTTACTTTATAAATTGCATTGACCAGATGTCTTAATATTAGGCAGTGCTGTTTTAGTTTGATGGAGGAGAGTCAGCAAGATTTCTAAGAGCTTTAAACTTCTAATTTTTTTTAATTCAGCTTTTAAAATTCAGTTAGCTAATTCTTCTTTCAGAGGATGAAATTGTGTTCCACTTCCTCTTAAATTTTAGTTTACCCCACCAGTATTTTTTTCATTCTCTTTTTCATTTGTCTGATCCAATGGACTGGAACTATCCTTATATTTCCTTTATTTCTATTCTAATTAGGTTTTTCTGCTCTTTGTGACCCTAGTTTTACTCTAGTGAATATTTCCAACTTTTTAAAAATTAAATTTAATTCATGTAACAGAATTCACCTTTTAAAGTCCACAGTTCAGTGACATTGAGTGGATTCACAATGCAGTCATCTCTCTTTACTTCAAAACACTTCATCCTCCCAAAAGAAAATCTTATCTGTTAAGCAATTACAACACTTCCCCCTGTCCCTTCAACCCTTAGTAACCCCACATCTGCTTTTTGTCACAGTGGACTTACCTATTCTGAATAGTCATATAAATGGAGCCATACAGTATGTGAGTATGTGGTCATTTGTATCAGTTTCTTTCACTTGGCGTATTGTTTTCAAGTTTGTTCATGTTGTAGCTTAGTCAGTGCTCCTTTGTTGTGGCTGAGTAATATTGTGTGTATGGCAATTACTTAATCCTTGAATCTGTCATCTCTTGATGGACCCTGGCCAATTTTATATTCTATTAGAAATTATAGGAAAATCTATAGCAAACCCTCAGCTCCTGAGTTGACTTTCACAGCAAGCTCCACAAGGCTTGTTGAACTAGCACCATGGCATCACATATCTACCTGAATGTGGGCACCAATCAGTATCTGCTGGACAGTTAAGTGATGTTAAATGTGTTTTGAAGAGGTTGTGGTCAGTTTTAATAGGTTCAGAAGATTGTACACTACTGTCTTTCTACAGTCTGTTTTTTTTGCCAATGAGCGCTAGATCATGTCCAGTTTTTGTGGTGGAAATGTGCTGGCCAGCTGCTTGGGCAGACAGCACCACTCAGCTCCTCCATTTCATCACACAGAAGGCTTGACTAGAAAAATAGTGTCTGCCCTGTTTAGTTAATTTCTGCAGACTACTTCAAGAAGATATTAGGGGAATGAGTCTGTAGGGGAATTCTTGCCCGTTCATTCAGAACAGGAAACTAACTTTTCAAACTATTTGATATATATAGACTAGGTGAAGTGTAAATATGTATCTTTCTCTACTCTTTGAGACAATTTGTGAATATACACTTCTTTACCCTACTCATGTTCAACTTCCAGTTACAATGTATTTCATTTTATTTCGCCATTGTAGACAGTGATTCCTTTCTTTCCATGCATGGATCCACCTGTTCTATCTCCTGGATGGTGTAGTGTGGGATTAAGGTAGTTTAGATTACTTCTGTTCAGTCAACAATTGTAGAACTCTAAAGGAGCAAGGCAGGCTAAGGGTTCTTTTTTGGATTTGTTGATGCTCTCGATTACAGAAATCTGATGACTATTTTATCGCTCTAACTGGATTATGACTTTTTCAAAGAAAATTCTGCTTTGGTAGATGAGGAAAAACTGCATGAAAGCATTTGGGTAATTTTTAATATAATACTTTTTGTAACCACTGCAAACTAGAGTTCCCTCAGCTCTGTTCATGTCTATTTTGATGCACTGTCTAATTAACCCCCCAGCTGTCACCCTGGAAATCTGGTCCACAGGTCTGGCTGATTTCCATCCATTGTTAAGAACAGGATGAAAATTCCTGTTATGTGACTTTTATTTTCATCTCAGTCTAACCTGCCTCTCTTGTCCCCAGCCCACATCATCTCTCTAAGTTTGGATTGGTGTATTGTAGATTAAAGTTCTGACAATGAATCAGTCACCTGGAGAGTTGAGGAGTTTCAGTCCTTGTTCTAGGGATTTTGGTCCTCAGCAATTTTCATTTTTTAGAGGATATTTATTTATGCATACAGAACTGGGGTACAGGCCAGAGGTGCAGAGATGGTGAGAAGATTGACCAGAGACAGAGTGGGGAGCAGAACAGGCAGCTTGACAAAGTACACTGCTGAAGGGAGCAGCGGGTGAGACAGGAGAGGTTTGCCACCCCATATGGTCACCTCCGTGACCTAGGATCGAACTTGCACTCAAGTGGCTGCCGCTTGCTTGTATTGCTGCGCTTTAACCTGCTGGCCACCTGCAAGGGCCTGCAATTTGCATTTTTAAAAGCCCACCAGTAATGGCAATATTCATGCTGTGGTCTGTGTGGCAGTTAGGGCTTCAAAGAGCCAGCAATGATGTTCCGTTGCTACCAAAATGGTTTGCAAAGAACACCCTTATACTACTAAGGAAACAAACGTGGGTGTAAGCCTCCTCCTGGCTTATGATCTGTTAAATTGAGGCAAATAACATGCACCTTGGAATCAATAAAATGGAGTAGGTGCCTGGGGAGCTACAAGCCCTACTTTGTTGTGGTAAAGCTTTTTTAGGAAGCACAAAAGTGGTAAGAGAAAAAAATTAATTCACCATTTCTTCAGGTCTCTTACCATGTAAAATATTTGTTTGTAATAGAGTTTATTTTTTAAAGGTTTATTTTATGTATCATACAAGAGCTGGGGTGT